GAGAGAGAGAGAGAGAGAGAAAGAGCTGAGAGGAGACTGAACAATGCATTACAATATGCAAATTAGCCACTTTTGTAAGTGGCGACATGCATAATTCCCCAGTCAATGATTGTTTTGCTTAGCTATTTGTCACAGTAACGAAACCGAGGCGAAGATCTGTTTGTTAGCTTGTTAAGTATTTTACCAAACGTGAAACAAATTAAATGCAAAATTTAGTAAGCGCAGTCAGTTATGGACCTTTTTACCCCTAACAGTTTAGACCCCAACCAGAAGTGGAAAACACTCTATTTCTCGTTCTTTACGCGTGAATTCGAGGGTGAATGGGGGCTAACTGGCTACTTGGGGTTAATTGATAATCGACTTGGGCCGAAGGCTAACCGATCGAAAATTCCTTTGAGGCGGAGACGGTATAACACTTGCTTTTATAACAATACATCAAACATATTATTTCCACCTCTTTCGTTTCTTAAGTTGACAATACGACAATTTCCTCACCTTATAGTTTCATCCGAACTACCAGTTGCAAGATATTCACCGCTGTTGGCCGCACATTTGATGCAACCAGCGTGTTCTTTTTCAGCGAATTTCGGTTTAAGCCTATACTGCTCGAAGAAACACAGAAAAGTGTCACACTATTAGCAAAGAAAAATTTAGGTTACATTTCACAAGTTCATAAACTACCTCAAGCTCATCTTCACCAAAGAGGACGTCAAAACCAACGAGAACTTGTTCATATGTACCAACAATGACTTCCATGTTGGATTTGCCATGTGACTTGGGAACCGCGCAATTTAATCACGGGAGCGTACTGCGTGAGTGTCTCGTTGTACTACCCAGATCTCGTACTAAGCCAGATTGACAAGGATGGAAGTCCGGGACATGGGGGGAAAACTGGATACGAAAGAATGAACAGATTGGTAGGGACGGGAAGAACGGGTCAACCGACCGACCGACCGACAATGGGGTTAGAACATTTGTCTCGGAGCTCGTAGGTTTGACTCGTATCCCTTTCTGTTAAATGACAGCCTCTAAACTCCCTAAACTGTGCACACATGGAAGTGGTTCTAGCGATTATTCTCTCAGAAAGCGATTAGGGCGTTCAGAAGCTACAGATCGTTTGTGTGTGTGTGGAGTTGTCTTGAAATTGACGTTAAATTCTTGACCAAGATTAGAAATTAATAAGGCTATCCGATTTCACAGTTAAGAAAAATTGGCCATTTAACCCGATGACGAAAAATTGTCTAAAATTGGTCTGTGGCCTAAGAAACGAAGTTTCAAGGACAATGGACAATTTAGAAATCGGGCCCTTTACAACATGGCAGGAAGTTAGTGATGGAATAATACTGCGTTTCAATTATAACACCCAAGTGTTTTTCCTTTCCAATTTTTTTTTTGTTTCTTTTTGTTAATAAAGCCATGAATGGTTGGCTCCTGACTTTGAACAAGACACTTTACTTTCCATTCATTTAAGGGGGTTTTATACTCTCAGATATAAATTTTTCTCCAGAAAACCATTGTTTTGGAACATGGAGATTCAACATCCCTGTCCATTTGTAAATCGTATTTTGAAACGATTTTCCTCTAATTACTCCTGAATTTACGTGTAAATTAAGAAA